TATATATATATATATATAGTGGTTTCATATCATGGAAGCGATTAATTCAGATAAGCTGTATGGATCATGCCTTGTGATATTTTTTTAATGCACAACTCCAGTTAGGATTTATAGAGTTGTGATATACAAACATTTAGATGTGGAATCAATTTTTTCATCAGAATCATGTTATATGTGATTAGAACAAATAAGAAATTGATTTCATTTTTTAACCTCAGCTTATAGTTATGAATATATTTTAGTTTTAATCATTCACTTATTCTTTTCCATTTTTAGAAAATATTTAGATAAGTGCATGACATCATTACCTCCAAGTCTATGTCCAATATCTCTAGTCTTTTTGTGCATCATTATGTAACCCTCCGATATTTCAATCTTGTGAATAACATCTAATAATAAGCTGTATATTGTTTAACCATTCAAATGTCTTCTCTGAACTTATCATCACAAAATTGTGATTGTATGAATGAAAAAAAAACATACAAAATGTAATATTTTATGTCCATCTCATCAACAATAGTATGACATCTGACAGAGATGAAGAAAACCCATTTTAATACACACTACTTATTTTGACAGGCACAACAACAGAATGAAAGTGGTAAAATGTATAAAATTTAAAGGCAGAAAATATCTCACTGTAAGCTGTGGTCTTTTATAATTCTACAAAATCAATGCTGAATACATTTATGAAGAAAGAGTTTAAACCGATAAATACCATGCCATTATGTTTCGACTTGGGAACATTGTCTCCTGAATATGAATAAAGTGGGTGACAAAACGAAAATAAGGACATTAATGATAAATAATGCAGTCAATCAACACTGAATTTTAATCATGCACAAAAGGTAACATGGTCAATAACAGGAGCAGATCCAGAGATATTTTCTGACAGTATTCCAAATTATCTTTGTTGATCCATCCTCCATTTTTGATGGTCTTCCAACAGAAAAAAATAGATACTCGTTAATGTAAACTTTAAAATCTGACCGTCTTCCAGAAGACCCGGAAGACGGTCTCAATCCACCTCTGCAATAAGATTACAGTTTCAGATACATGCACGTTTGAAATGCACTCAGCGTTTTCATACCTAAACTTTTTTGTTTAAACAGAAAAAAACGCGTATTTAACTCGGAGGGAAGAATCAATGTACGGCTATAATAGTTTTTGGAGGGAAACCACGCATGCCTCTCCCCCAATAATTATTGACAGTGTCCTTGCATCTTGTTGACATGATATCAACCTGAAGTTTATGAACCTGCCCCAGGCCATCATTGGACGACCTTGTCGGCTTACACTGGAACACTTATTCACAACATACACTGATCCACAATGCACTTTGAAGAAACTTTCATTCCATTTCTTGTTTCACAGATGATGATAATAAAGATAAAGTGATAATACATTTTTGCTATAAATATCTATGTGGAGTTGTCCAGTTTTTTGGTAGCATTAATTTTCCAAGGAGAAAGGATAACGAAAGGATAATATACTTGCTGTGATTTAATGTTTTCTTTTACTTTTTACATTTGCTTAAATGTTTTAACTACTTCTTATATTTGCTTGAAAGAAGATGGCATGCAGGGCTCCATAGTCCCCCTTTTCACTGTTCAGAACTGGCATGGTTTAAAAAAACTTTCGCTTGTTTGGGGGGGGGGGGGTAGGGAGTTACCTCCCTCAGCTCCTGTGATCTTTTACGTTGTTTAATTACCAAAATTAACAGGTCTGTAGACGGAAAGGGGGGGGGGGGGGCGGGGGGCGAACCCCAGAAGAAGGTTGTTTGCTCAGGGCAACATATGACCTACGTACACGGAGGTTTCATGGTAAAAGGTCAACTTATAGAAAAAAAACGTCACATTTTGATGGGGTCCGCCATATAGATAAACGTCCCAATAAAATATTCGTCCCGATAGATACGTCTCTATACATACACGTCTCAATAGATTTACGTCTCGTTAAATGTACGTTCCGATAGATCCACCAACAGTTTCCTATAAACCCACGTATCTTTAGATCCAGGTAGGGCCTACCGCTAGATCCATCTATTTGACATCGTAATCGGCTAAAAGGCCGATATCAACTTGTGATACAGGTATGAGGCTTTCAAGTGATAGTCTGGCTGCGAATACTGATCCACTTAGTGATCTGACTTAATTACAACCTGATATTTATTATTTATTCATTTATTTATGTATTTATATTTTTATTAGGTGTTCAAACAAGACATACATGTACGTTCGCGTCTATCACACTCTAAAGTTCGGGAACGCGTCGTAAACATGAAACAGAACACATTTTAAGTGTGCAAATGTTACATTTTGAGAACGCTTTAAACAGTGTTCTGGTGCCAGAACACTGAGCGTTGTGAAATATAGAACACATTTTTTATGTTCTTTATTTTATTTATTTATTTTTTTTATTTTTTTATTTATTTTTTTTTTGTTTTGTTTTGTTTATACACTTTTACATGTAAATTCAGAACACTTTTTACGTGTTTGAATGTTACATTTTGAGAACGCTTTAAACAGTGTTCTGACGCTAGAACAGTAAGCGTTGTGAAATATAGAACACATTTTTGTTCTTTTTATGTTCTTTCACTGAGTATTGTGTGAAAACGATCTAGCAGAATAATATATTGCTGAAAGGATTAATATGTGTACTGTCGTTTTAAAGAATTGCATTTTATGTACTGAGTAGTATACCAACCATTTGAGCAAAAGCATACCTGTAATGGATCTATCGGTATTTGGATTTCAAAATACGTGGATCTATAGGTATGCGGATTTAAAGGACGTGGGTTTATGAGGACGTCGTATCTATAGGAACGCAAATATATAGGACAGCAGTAAAAAATCGGATCTATCGGTATTTAAATCTAAGAAGACGTTTTTTCAGTTTTTCCTTTATGTATCTATCGGTAACGGGAGTATAGGGACGTGTAATCTTTTGGGACTAAATTTTATCCGTACGTACCCATTTTGATAATCTACATCTACTACAATTACCCAAATGGTCTTTTATTTAAAAAAAAGAAAAACAAAAAGCATACAACCATATAATGAAGAGGACATTATCAGAATGAGTCTCTAATAACAAAAATGAAAAATTATACTTTTAGCTGAAGATGGAGTTAAACAATCTGCCTCAACGGGTTCAGGGGTTGGGGTGAGAAGTAAAAAAGTAGAAAGCCAAAATGATGAAATAACCTTAACATGGAATTACACAGCTTATACGAAGTATATTTTTCTGACTGGCGTGGAGTTTTCATTTTTTACCACATGGAATTTAATGTAAGCGATACTTAGACTACCTGTTCAATACCCGCTATAGAGATATGCAGCAAGAAAACAAAGCGGGGACATCTTGGGATATGGTGGCCAGACCATGGACAGACGGCAGAGAGTTACAGGTGGTGCCACCTGGAGGTAAGGCCAATGATCCGAGAAATTAAGTATTGGACATGTACCGTTAATTACTTTTCGATTTCAATGGTGCGATGTGCGTAGAATAGGTGATATTGCTACTTAAATATGAAGCCTATTTAATGATGTCAATCTATGGCAAATTACGGGGGATTGTGAAAAATGGGTAATTGAAGGTCTGGTCATTCCCCCTTCTTCTACCCCCTTACCCTCAATAGACAAAAAACCATGAAAACAAACATATTAGACGATACATATTTATATTTTTATTAAAGATAAATTTCCTAAATTGATGGGTTTCAGGGGCGGATCCAGGATTATTAGAAGGGGGGTCCAGAACGACAGATCTCGAACGCGAAGCCGACCATCGCTCCCTAGGCGTGTGGTTCATTGCCTGCTCAAGGGTCCCGAAAATTTTTTGATGTTTTTGAGGGCAAACGGTGCCCTTTGGTGTGATTAAGAACTATTTTTTTTTTCAAGAGGGGAATATTGGTGTGATATATTTTTCAGAAACCGAAGGGGGAGGGGTCAGGACCACCCAGTTTCATGTAAAATATATTTGNATATCCAGATTTATTAAAATTAACATTTTCCCCTGAAAATGTACATTTGGGAGACTAGTTGAAGCTACTGTAACCGTGATCACACTGAAAGTGAATGGTACTATTGCAAGATATGTTGTCTACAGTACATCAATGATGTTGATCAGTTGTCATCAGTTGTCCTTATACTGTAACTACTAGTAGAGGACTGGGCATTTTTAAAGCCGACTGACACTGTGGGACAGCAGCTAGTTAGGTCCAAAAGTCTTTTGTAAACAGGCTGTCTTTAGCAGTGATATATATTATCACATCAAATGTGAAATTTGTGATGCTCAAGAGGGCCTTCAAATGAAGGTATCAAGAGCTCAGAAGACCTACAGATTGATACATGTACATGCAGGTCCATTAACTCTGATTGTCCATCACAAAATATCAGAATAGAAAAGGCTACTCTTATAAGTGGAATGTAGGTAGTGTTAACATGGTGCTCTGGAGGTTATTCAGTACATTATTTTACTGAAGCGTTCTGTTTCAAAAATAGCATATCATTTATTTTAATTCCATTTTTAATTATGCTATAACTAATATAACTAACTGTTAGTGCACCAAGTCACATGACCCTGTGGTCACTCTTAGTTAGGTGATCATTAATCAGTCACATGGTTTTGGGTATGCATGGTATAGAAATCTCGAGAAAATTTAGACAAATAGCAAGCATACCGATCGGTCACCTGTGTTTGGAACAGTAGATAGCATATATTGTGAGTACTTGTAAAATGTTTTTTTTTTTTTACTCTAACGCGTATACTGTAGTTTGTTTCTAATTCTGAGTTTATTATGTATTGCATACTTACATCATTTTAAAATTTTTTTTTAGATTTGTACAAAGCCCAAAATACACAAAGAACAAACGTGCCACGGTGTCTATTGTGCTAACGGAAATGTTACAAGTTGTGCTGTCTGTACGTCAATAAAGGATTCAGTTATTTTATGCTTAACGTCATCTACACAAACTATAACTAATTTTCAGATGGATTGACAAACAGTGATCTCCACAATCAAGTGCCTTGGTAGTTAGCTTCCCAACATGCCTAAGAAAAAGAAGGGGAAGGGAGGGAAGAAGAAAAAGAAGTAAGAACCTCAATATGTTGAAAATACACTCAGTTCAATTTTTCTAGATCATTTTTGATAATGATTTTATATTTAAAAATCATCATAAATTAATCCAATGTCAGTTAAGTCAACATGCATGGAGAGTACTCCAAGACTGCAAACCTCTATGATGGCAAAATGTAAATAACAATAACATTTAAGTTATTTTAAAAACATTAGGATACCCAAATTCAGTTGACATTAGAATGACTTTTTTTCACCCTGAATTTTTTTTTTTTTTTTTTTTTTTTACATTTTTTCAAAATATGTGTATAAAACTTTTTTGGATATCTTTTCCCACAAACTAATGTCAATGAAAACAACCTACTTCCTTGGTTGAAGCAATTGTGTCCGGTTTT